TTGGCAGAAAATTCTACTCTGCGGGCGGGGTGGGGGAGGCACTGAGGAGTGGTGGGGGGCGGCCCGAGGGGCTGGGAGAGGGTCCACCCCATGCTGCGCCTGGGCTGGGACTGGTCCCGCCGGCGCAGGGTAGCAGGAAACTCTCCGCACACTCACCTGACCTGGGCTAGGACTGGGTCTCGGAAAAATTTTTCTTATCAACTGTCTGACATGGCACTGCTCATTGAGACTCTGGAAATTATCAATGCTGAGGAGATTTTTGTGCTTTGTATCTCCTAATTATGTTAATATTTTCATCATTATATTTTAACTTTGAATTGATGGGTAATACTGTGGGTGGAAAACATGGATTACATAATACAGATTTTTTTTGGCAGTTCTGTAACTTTATTTCCAACTTAGTTCTCATCTCCATTCACTGTCTGAAGATTTTTGAATGTGGTAACAGGTACATAGGTTACCAAGGTACACAGCTTGTTTGGTGAATCTTCATCCTCATTTCATTTCCTGGATAACCGTACTCAGATACAATATGGAACATTCCTTATGCTTTTGGCCCAGACAGCTTTGTTGAGCCTGGTGTCAACACACACATCTGGAGTCCCCATTTCCCTCATGGCAAACTTCCGGATCTCTTTAAGTGTCTGAGGGGCACGCTTCTTGAAGCCCACTCCTTGGATGTGCTTGTGAATGTTGATTGTGTACTCTCGGGTCAGCACCTCATTGATGGCAGAACGGCCCTTCTTCTTCTTGCCACCCTTCTTTTCTGGGGCCATCCTGCCGGGCCCTGGATATTTTTATGTATGGAATCAAACTCAGGGTATTGCACATCCCAGCAGGTACTCAGCCATTGAGCTATATCCCCAGCAGTTATTACTTAAATATATTTATTTAAATGTAATACTATCATAGCCATCAGAGGACAAATTTCAGGTTTGAAACCATCTGAAATCTATTTCTATTTTTAAGCAAAATGGCTAGAGTTAGCAAGTAACATATGTCAAATCATATGATTTTCATTTTTGTGATGAGAAAATGCATAATCTCCTTGGTTAGTCACTTTTTCAAGAACAAAATAAATGATTCCTAAACTCAACCACTAGACTACAATGTGGATTTCTAGGAAGCTATGAAATGAAGATCCAAACTACACAGGGCTGCAACACATGATCATTTAAACTCTAAAACTGTTCAGGAACAATTTAGAGAGAGTCAAAGAAACACTTCTAAAAAATGAAGTAGAAATAGAAATTCCAATGCTTATTACACTTTGGGAAAAAATTTCCAAATTCTTAGTAGGAAAACATATATTTATACCAATATGTGATACACAGCATCTTTTGGTCATATTAAGAAACAAACAGGAACCAAAAAAGATCTCAGTATGTATTTTTCATGCCAATGGGAATGTACAATGGTCCTTCCACTGTGAAGGCTTTTTGGTAATTTCTTTTGTTGTTGTTGTCCTTTATAACTTTTATTTTTTAAATTTATTGTAAAGAGAGTATAATAGTAATTCATCAGACATTAAAAACAGTACACATTGAGAAGAATAAAATGAGAGGTATTCAACCATGATTTTTTATTGTACATTACTATCTTTGAAGTTGTTTCTCAGATTAAAGATATTTGGAAAAGATACAGAATTTCTGATGGATATGAGGACCACAATGGACAGGAGAGTTGAGGTGTTCACAGATCTGATCTGAGCATGATGGTCTTGTGCACCTTCTGAGGATGTTTCATCAGCTTTATCTCCTTCAGCACTCCCCAGGGATGAAGATTGCTTGTAGGCACAGCTGGGACATCTGCAAAAGGCTTCTAAAATGTAAGTATTTGAACCATGAGCATTAGTCAACCACGCCATCAAAGCCTCAAGAGATTTTTCAGGAAAGAGTTCAACAGCCAGCCTGGCCCACTGGACTCCTCGCAGGTGCTCTGCTTTCACACACTTCTTTTTTTTTTCTTTTTCTTTTCAAAGTTTTATTGATAAACATATAGCAATGAGACAGTTTCAAATCAAATCGAAAGTACAGTTTCAATAAATAATACACTGCATATATTCTTCTTAGTGGTTAATTGCTGTACAAGATGCAGACTTGTGATCCTACTTACAAACACCATTAGAAAAAATCATTCTATTCATTAAGAGAATGCAACTATATATCTATCCCAACCACTTTGAATACACAGATACAAAATGGACATTCATAGTTATACCCCAATTTTTTTTAAGTTCCGTTGTTGAATATTATAGGTGTGTAAACTCAGCAAAATATTCTAAAAGAGTACAGAAGCCCATAATAGCATTGGGTCTTCTGTTTAATTGGCAATGTCAGAAATTATTGACCTGAGTCCCCCACAGCTCAACATAACAACATGGCTTTACTTCCTATATTTCATCTTCATACTTTTCTACTGGATGGTTAAGACCAAGGTAAAGCAGAACCTATGCAACAAGAGTTGTAGCTTTTTGGTTTGAGAAGGTCAGTGAAATGCCCTCAGGATTTATCCTGAGATCCTATACCTCAGATTGTAGAACCTTTGTCAGTGCAGCCATGTGGATGAGTCACGGCCATTGCTTGGCCAATGTGCTCTCTGTGAAAGCCTGAGAGAGTTTCACACACTTCTGCCAGGGCCTCCATACCTTGCCTGACTAAATGGCCATCTACTACCCAAAGACACCACAGAGCAGCTCCTGGTGATCACCTGAATAATGTGAACACACATGAAGCTTTGTTGCAAAAGCTACTCATTAAACATTTATCCAAATCCACAGAAGGTAAAGCACTATGACAATGGGTGTTGGGGTTATCTCACTGTGCATCCAACCACAGGGACAAAGAGGGACTGCTGACAGGGTGCTGATAGAAGGGCAAGTTGTACTTGTATGTGCGCAAGGAGGTACTTGTGAAATGTGTCTACTTTCTATTAGACTTTACAATGAACATAAAAATGGCCTATTAGTAAATTCTGATAGACATAGCAGCAACAGTCTGACCATTTTGTACAACATAAAGAGAACAAGAGCGATAAGTTGTCTGATTGTGAAACTTTGCTCTTATAAACTTGTCCAAATGTATTACAATTCAAAAACAACACAAGTGACAAATGTCTATGTTCCCAGTAAACTTGGTGTACAAACAAAATCATTGCACAAAACTTTCCTTCCATTGATGAGCTCCACATTGGGTGAAACATGACAGTGGTGGTCTGCCCCACATGAACAAGTACAACATCCGCTTTCCCAGAACTGTGGATCAAATGACGCTTGTGAATTGAGACACCAATATTCTGTCCTCACAAATATGTTCTAGGAATTCCTGCTTTCAGGCTTATCTTACAGAGATTTCTTTCATTGTGGTTGTGTTTTTCAAATTCTCATTGTTAGGACAAAATATCTGAAAACTAAAGTTAAAGAAGCAAAGGTTAATTTGGATCACAGTTTTTAGAGTTCTCAATTCAAATTAGGCAGCTTCAAGGCAGCATAGGACATGGCCAAGGAGTAGAGTTTGTGGTGGAAGAAAATACCTAAAGCCATAAGACTAGAGCTAGTCACCTTCTCATTCCATTATACAATATGAAAGTTACTCAACATAGAGCTGGTACAAAAAAAATCAGTCCCATAATCCCAGCACTAGACACTAAGCAAATCACAAACTCTAGATTCAGCCAGATTTCTGCAAAATCCCATGATCATAAATGCAGACACCAACCATAGCCAAGGTTGACTGTAGTGGACAATGCACAATTGTCCCACTCAACTAGAGTGGATACCAGTTTTTTATCTTCTCCTTACTCAATTATTTCACCCTTTTTTAAGTATGTCTTCATTCATGTCATCTCTGTAATCTCATCATTTAAGCAGCTGCTCTTCCCTCTGGGTTTCTGACATATGCAGGATGTGGGTCACCACACTGTGTCTCTCGCACAGTAATACACAGCCGTGTCCTCAGACTTCAAACTGCTCAGCTCCATGTAGGCCATGCTGGAGGACTCGTCAGCAGTGAGGGTGGCTCTGCCCTGGAACTTCTGAGCATAGCTAGTATCACCATCACTAGGGTAGACCCAACCAATCCATTCTAGTCCTTGTCCAGGGGTCTGTCGCACCCAGTGCATAAGATAGCTTGTGAAGGTATACCCAGAAGCCTTGCAGGTGACCTTCACTGAGGTCCCAGGCTTCTTCAGCTCAGCTCCAGACTGCACCAACTGCACCTCGCCATGGGCACCTGAGGAGAAAAGACAGAAGTTGAAGGCAGGGTCCCCTGACAGCTTGGATCTCTTCCTCAGGGATAAGACTGTGGATCACCTTACTTTTCAGAACTGCCACTAAGAAGAGAATCCTCCAGGTCCAATCCATGTTGAGGAGCTGTGCTCTAGGGGATTCTACAGAAAGCAGAGATGGCTGTGGAATGCTCTGAAAAGCAGAGCTTTCATATTTACCTCAGCAGTCTCTGATTATTTGCATATTCATGAGGCAGGAAACTTCTTAGCTCTGGATATACTCGAATCTGGAAACAGACAGCAATTGTACATGGGACATTCATCAGTGAGATGCTGGGATTCATGAACTTATCCTTTCTGATGAAATGTATCTCTCTAAAATATAGGAATTATTATTTAGATCCTGTCGTGTGTCAGACTGTATGAGACACTTAACATAGAAGAATCATACATCCCAGTGAAATACTGAGTAATCCTAGGAACCAAATTAAGTTCTGCAAAATTTCTTATTTGATCCTTTCAAAAGCAGGCATTTAATGACAGATGAAACTTTTAAGGAATTTTCATTTCTAGGTTGACTAATAGTTTTCCCAATAGTTCATCTTGAAAATACCCATCCAATTTAATAGTACAGTAAAAAATTTCTACATAAATATTTGAATTTTATGTTAACAAAATCATACTTACAAATTAAAGAGCTTAAATTGTGATTTATATCCAAAAGTTATATATGACCATGTAAATACATAAATATTCCCACTTGAAGCAAAACAATAAATTGTCCTTTGAACAAAAAAAAAACAAAGAAAAAGAAATGTATCTCTCAACTTAGGCATGCGGATATCCCTCACTGAGAATGAAGCCACCAGAGGAAGGTGGCTCTCTGATCCAACATTGAATGGACCATAATCCACCTGAGCTTCTTGGTGGCAATGTGTCCTTGATTCTAGGCAGATGCAATGACCTCCATATATTTTTATTAAATGTAAATAGAAGTCAAGTTTCACTCTTAGGGAATGACACTGCCCATTCCACATCTGTACTCAGAATGTGCCATGCATCCCTCTGGTATTAGTCTAGCCTCTTAGGATGGTTTCTCTAGCACCTGTCTTGATTGATGATGTCTCATCTGTTCTACATATAGGCCCTTGCTCCTCAGACCAGCCCTGTGATGCACAGGACAGGGCTAGCTGGGCTTCTGACCCGATCAAGGATGGTACTTGAACATGAACCTCAATGTAGTTTCCTAAAAGGGCTTTTGCTGATTTTATTTGGCTTTCAGTCACGTAAAAACAACACAGAATTTTTCGGGATCCAAAATGTTTGTGAAATATTCATCTCCCTCATCCTTCCTCCTTGATTGTTGTACATGGTCCATGTAATTGTCACATGATCTGACCCTCCACAACCCCGAAATACATCCATTTCTGGTGTCAACACCAAAAGCAGATAGTGAGTATCATGTTCTGTACATCTGCCAACATGTTGCACCATTTCACATTAAAGGAATCCATCTTTTGTTCTGTCATTTAAATACTGATATGTACAAACCATTAGATGCCCACATTAGCAATTTTTAAGTGATTCAGTGAAATAAACTCATCCATTGAAATATTTATCAAAATATGTATGCATTATAAACTCACAAAGTTGTATGAGGTTTTTAATGGGCAGCAATCAAGCAGTCAGAGGAACCTGCTCAAGCTTCCACACCTGCTCCCAAATTGCAGCAATACACGGTGGGTCCTGAGCATCTAACTTCTCTCTAAACCAGGATGGGTCAATGTCTGGACCATGCATAATTTTGTACAGTTACTCCACCTCAGACAATGTATTAAATGGGTTTTTAAGACTATTTCAAGGAGATGCTGATATCCTGACACATGTCCTAGAGCAAGGAACTCACGGAACCTGCAGTGCTACAGGGAGACCTGAGATAGTAACAAAGAAACAAGCTGGGGATTCACGGCAGGAGGTTTGTGCATCCCTCTGGATGAGGCTATCCAGGGGACCTGTGGGCACCAAGGACACCTCAAGCCTCCTCCCCTTCAAAGTCCCCATGAGGCTACAGCATAAGTTTTCTACAGAATCTGTGTGCAGGGCCTCCTTAGGTCAAACGTTATCAAGATAGAGAGGAAATCACAAACATCTGAAAGGAAACCCTCTCTCCACAGCTTCCTTCTCTGCACCTGCTCCTGGGACATTTGCTGGTATTCCGTGGATCCTCAGTGCCCCCTGCTGGTCACAACACCCCTGAATGAGGTTTCTATTTGGTCTGCATTGTCCCCTCACTGTTTCTCAGGCCTGGTAATATACAATCATGTCCTCAGTTCTCACATGATAACTTGTAAGTATAGTATATTACTGCATTTTTCTTTCTTTTTTTTTAATTTTCCTGAAGTTTTTTTTTCTGGTTGACACATTATTTGTTCAATTTAAACAAGCATTTCTTGAATTTCTAGTGATTGAGTACACTACTAACAAAGTAAAAACCAAGTGACAAACTTATTGTTGCAATTAGTAATTGCATCTTTTTTTCTTTTTTTTTTTTTT